ATTGATGCCTCTCCTAGTCTTTGCAAATTGATTCTGTTTGGGGCCCTCCTTCAGTATTGCATCAGGCCTGCGCTGAGATGAAGCCTAAGAGCCTGAAATGGAAACATAAAGTCTTTTCAGATAACTTCTGAGCATGCATTGTATCGTGGACATATATGTGACTTTTCAATTTCTTAGCATATATGTTTCTGAAAGCCTTAATTTTCAAAAGAACCCCTCTTCTTGGCTTCTCTTTCGAATCTGTATGTTACTCACTAGCTCTAGGAATCTACAGGGGATTACAGTGTTTGGTCACTGCTTTCTGCCCCTCAGCACTGTGTGAGCTCTGAGAGAGACTAAACTGTGGTCTGTGATCTTGCCTTTCAGACAGCTCGAAGATAGCTTAGAACACACACATAAATTTGCAGATACAATCTGCTCTGCTCTCTCCCGAGCCACAGACAAGACTTCATCTGTTGGAGGGTGGACTGCCACAACTTTAAGATGACCATGCTAAGCCAGGAAGGAAATAGGGCAGGGCAAGAAGAGGTCGGCTTGTTGGCACAGGCACAAAATGTAAAAGGAACAAAATGGAATTTGTATTAGTAGATGCTAGTCAATATGACAAGTTAATTAAAATGTGTTAGTTTCAGAAATGGTTGAATGATTGTTTTTCTGCTGTTACTTGCTTATTTTACCTTTGTAGATGGATGAAACAATTTTCATTTTATTGTTTCAGGTTTGGAAACCAGAGCTAAGAACAAACTGATGTTTCCAAAGCAAGAAATTTTAGAAGCAGAGCCACAGGTGCAAGAACTAGAAGGGTCTCAAGGGAAAGTTTCCATGTTTTCTAAGTATGGTGATGCTCACAAGAACAAGATAGAAGAACAGTCAAGAAAGCCCTCAGTATTGAAATTTGAAAATTCTCTTGAAGAACAAGGATTCACTAGCTCTTCAGTTCTCGGCAAGAATGGTTCCACAGAAGAGGGTGACACTGAATTTGATCACAGTGCCAACAGGGCAGACATTGCTTTTCATCAGCATGTTCAGATGGCAGGTAGGCCCATTAACAGTAGTAAACATGGAAATAGTAGGTTAGATATGTTGCGATATCAAGTGGTGATACCTCATAAATCTATTGACAGTGAGGAAACTTTCCATAGCTCTGGCCTTTTGGAGACCCAGAGGCAATTCTGTCAAGAAAGGCCTTATAGATGTGGGGACTGTGAGAAGAGTTTCAAACAGCGTTCTGACCTCTTTAAACACCAGAGGATCCACACTGGTGAGAAACCATATGACTGTCAAGAATGTGGGAAAAGCTTCAGTCAGAGTGCTGCCCTGGTTAAACACCAGAGAACTCATACAGGTGAAAAGCCATATACATGTTCCAAATGTGGGGAAAACTTCAGACAGAGCTCGCATCTAAATCGACATCAGAGAATCCACACAGGAGAGAAATGCTATAAATGTAACGAATGTGGAGAAACTTGCCATATTTCCAACCTTATTAAACATCAGAGAATACATAAAGGTGAGAGGCCCTATAAGTGTGAAGCATGTGAGAAAAGTTTCAAACAGCGCTCTGACCTCTTTAAACATCAGAGGATCCACACTGGAGAGAAACCTTATGGATGTTCTGTGTGTGGGAAAAGCTTCAGTCAGAGTGCAACCCTTATTAAACACCAGAGAACTCACACAGGGGAGAAGCCTTATAAATGTCCTGAATGTGGGGAATGCTTTAGACAGAGTTCACACCTTATCCGACACCAGAGAGTCCACAGACATAAAGTTCTGCCAATTTGACATGATTCTGCATGATGCTTTGTTTGTTTCCTGTTGTCCAAAAATACTCCTTATAGCATTTGGATGATTTCTATCAGTTGTTGTTGTTGTTGTTAGGTGCCATTGAGTCAGTACTAACCCATAGCGAGCTTATGTACAGCACAATGAAACACTGCCCGATCCTGGGCCAACTTCACTACTGTTACCACGCCTGAGTCCATCGATGCCGCTACTCTATCAGTCATATATCATAGTATTTCATACAAGATAGTTCAGTCTGACTTGAGACTCGAATTTTGATAAACAGTTGTAGTGAAGGAGGACTGAGTTAGTAAGGAGCGGTGGTTCTGGGTGAGAAAATCCTGATGCTCAGAGAAAGGACTGACAGGAGAAAGAGTTCTGCCTTCTTTATCCCTTTGCTCTTCTTACATCGCTTTTGGATCAAATCTTGTACACTTAATTACTTTCCTAATGATGTTATTTTTTCATAGTTACTGAGAAGCACCTTTCTATCTAGATGGTAGATAGGATTTCAACCCCTTCATAGTCCTTACAGCACCCTTATAAAGTGCAGTCTATACAAGAGTACTACGTGTTTTCAGCTCAGAAAAACTTCATTCTGAAAAGACTTTTCTGGAAAACCAGTGGTGACCTTTTCTATTTCCTAGTGAACAGACTTCATGCATATTTGCCAGAGTCTAAGGATAATAACACCATTCAAAATAAAAGCCAAAGGGTTGATGAGCTGGTGGTGTGCGTTGAAATTATACAGACTCTGGGACTGATGTTCAGAGAAACAAAAACTGAGTTATCACGCTTGAACAAATTAGCTGCTAAGATGGGAACACTGTTTAATCTTTTGATCATTTTAATTAGTGAACCTCAGATTCCAAAATCTTGTCCTGTTTTTGATATCCAGCTGTTGGCCAGTTCAACTTTAGTTGAAATGTCTTTCGATGCTGAGTTACAGAAGCTTATCCTGGAATACACAGATTCGGCTACAACACTTTTATATGAGATACTTCTTGTTTTCCAGCAGGGGAATCTTGGATTAGGATCAACAGAATTTGCTATTAGTCAGATACGTCATTTCTGCAAAGCTGTCCACCCATAATTACTTTTTTGGCCAATATTGTGAAAAAAGTGGTGAAGAGGTTTTCAGCTGCTAATTCCATGACAACCAGTTCTTTGATACCAGCAGTTTTCCAGCCCCAAGAACTGCCTGCAGTACAGCAAGCCTCTAGCTGAGTATATTAGAAATTACTACAGAGAAGAATTCAGGGACTTGATTCATATGCCAACCTTGGGGAAAAGGCTCCTGTTTGTTACCCGATCACCCATCCTACTACTCAACTTATCCACCAAATTCTGAGCCTGGTGGAACGAAGTCATGTGTAAAATGCTAACAAGAGTATAAAATGTTAATCAGGAGTCAATATTATGAGAAACATATGTTTTTTATTTATAAAAGTACATACATGTTAATATCTGACTATCCTTGCATCCTATAAACACAGATTTTATTTGAATGTCCCCCACCCCCACCCCCCAAAAAAAAACACCCCAGAGTACTACATGTTTTATTTTAAGGGATTTCAGTTTCATTGGTTCTGTCTTCCATGGATTCATTTCTACTCCTTTTGTCCTTCCAATGCATTATCTATTTCTGAAAAATTAGCATTAATATTTTTGGATTTCTATTTGCTGTTTTCATATGATTTCTAATTTTCTGTTTATCAGTTTTCTGCTGTATAGTTCACCTAAATAGAATCTGTTGTCTGTTGGCTCTGAGACATAGTAGGATTATTGTTTTTATTTGATGAATGTATGTTGATTTGTTTCATGCTGGTCTTTAGATTTATTTTGGTTTGATAGATCCTGGTGGGCAGGGAAGGTATTTTGCTATGGTTGCTAGTTTGAGAGCATTTAGATGCTCACAACCTACTTCTGATAGGTTGTGTGCTATTCATGTAGAACAGTTAAAAGTGGGCTGGGTGCTGACTAATTCGACCCTATAGCGAGAGGATAGCCTCTTCTCCATCTTTGGAGCAAGCTTGCCTGAGGGAGCCAGCATTCACCAAAGACCCACCTGAAAGAGGGATGTCATCTGCATCTCCCCCCGGCAAGAGCACCAAGGAGCCAGCCAGCCGTTTCCACAGCAGAGAAGACTTTAAGAACTGTTTAACCCTTAGAGAACTGGTTAAACCCCAGAGACATTCTGCTGCTTTGCTTGTCGGGCATGGGGAATGGGGAGTTAATAGATGTTACAGATTTTGCAATCATCCATCAACCATCGTAGGTTTTATTGCCTGTTAAAGTTTTCAGAAGCTAGGCAAA